TGCCCAAGAACACAACACAATGTCCCCGGCCAGGGCTCGAACCCGGACCGCTCGATCCGGAGACGAGCGCACTAACCATGAGGCCACCGCGCCTTCCTCCCTGGCAATTAAGAAGGCAGGAATATTATCCTAGCGCCATAAGGTTTTTATATTCAGTTTACACGCAAAAGGTTGTACTTAGCCCTAGCACCAGGATCTCTCGAGTGCTAGGATCTTGCAAGGTGAGAGATAAGGAGATCCTAGTTCTAGGAAGATCCTAGCACCATTTAAACTACCTTCCCTCGGAATTCTCGATCCTAATACTCGGAACAAAAAAACAGAAACCTAACCAAACATGGCGATGTCAGAGCGGCCGACTACTTAAGGCCAACAATTTCATCTTATTTTTCTCCTCCACTTGATAGCCACCTTGATTTAATCTTTTTTGCATGTAAACCAAACGAAACGTTATCTCGTATCTTTCTAGTGCCAGGATCTTCCTCCCTTCATGTCACCAACCACTTACACTAACCTATCTGCTGTCTCACTGTCGGTTTTCTTCTCCACGATATTTATAGCTGCGCTTGGTCCGTACGTCCTGACCGAGAACCAATATTTTCCCGTCTGGCATCACCTCGCTCAGTCAATAAACGTTTTATCAGATGACCACTTTTAAATGTTTAAAATTCTGAAAATTCTATTTGAACCTAAATAGCACGCGACTACATAACATCAAGCGGCCACGCGCGGAATAACTACCAAAACATTTAAAGATCCCACGATACAAGCTCCTCATTTATTTCTTCGCTTCGGAATCTGGCAAGAAACTCACAATTTATCGATTGGAAAAACACGACTCATTTTCTCATTTCTGTTTTTCTTTAGATTTAAAGAACACAATTACAATCCGTTTAACGGGAAATGTTGAGTTATGAAAGTATGAATTGACGAAGTTACGGAGAGGCAGAAAAGTCATTTAATAGCCGTAAAGCTGTTCTAATTGTTTCTACTAGCTTTCACTGCCTAACTCAAAAGCCGACAGGAAGTCGAGCTAAAGTTGTCAAAAATATGTGAAAACCATCAAAAACTCAGCGAGTGATAAAGGCTCGCTTCACGCTTCAATGGAATTGTGCCCAAATCTTCTTCATCTGAAGACCGGATAAAATATCGGTGTCGTTTTAAGCTATTTGTCGAGCTATCGGATCATCTTAAACAAGGAAGAACCAGTGACTGAATATTAATTACAATGGTGTTGGCTCCTGCTAAGACTGGAGAGTCTGGGTTTGCTGACCTTGCTGAGCAAAATTTATACACTAACAGGAACAAGCAAGTTTTGTTATCTGGAAGGACTGTACGGTAACCGAGGAAGGCTATTTTGCGAACCTGCGAGCGCGAGCCCGCGAGTCTCTATTTGTGAACCCTGAAAGATTCCTGCCAAAAAAAAAATCCAAAAACGGGCATAATGCCCTAACATGGTATTTATACAGGCAGGGGCCCATTATGCCAAACCGACCGGTAAGAGACTAGTGGGAGTACCCGAGGAAAATGGAACAACATTTTCCGATCAAACCGGGCCTATCAAGAGGAATGGCTCTTACCATTTTTCATTCCTTTTCCGAATTCCCTACATAAGTGAAGAGAATTAGGGCAATGATCCGATTTGTCAAAAATGGAAAGGCAAATTTTGGTCGGACCGGTCCGACCGAAAGAAGAGGATCACCTCCAGAGGTGATCCCGAATATTGGTTTCGGAAGGAACTGGAACGGATCTTTCCATTTGACTTCCGACCGAAATTTCAGGAATCTTTGGCATGATGAAAAACACCCACAGTCTTCATGGTTCGGTGCATTGTAGCATGGCAAGTGAGGTGGTGGAGAGTTCCTTTTTTAAAAATTTATTTCTACCAATTACGTACGCAGATATTTTAGAACGGTCACTTTTCCCATTTTGCATTTGAATTACCAGACTTTGGTTGCTGCAAGCGAGGTAAACTTTTGCTAATCTTTAATAAGTTTGCAAAAAGTTGTGATTATTTTTCACCACAGTAAAAACGTACTCAAAAAAAAAAAAAAAGAAAGAAAAAAAAATAGAAAGAAAGAAAAAAGCAGTGGCTCGCAAAAATAGGCCTGCAGCCCGTAGCTCGCGGATCGTGGCTCGCGGTTCGCAGGCTCGCACATTAGTTACACTAATGCTTTACTTTGGCACAAATATTTCAACCCTGAAGCAAGGAAAGAAGGCAATGTTACAGGATAGAACCGAACGAATCTTGCTTTGACGTTAGGACTGAGAAAATGCTTTACAATACTGTTTCGGTCTGTGTTTCCTGCAAACACCTGCAAACGAGAAATAGACACATTAACAACACTTTAATTTCATAATGTCTGGGAAAGGGGGATGGGGGAGGGGGGGGNGGGAGGAGGGGGAGCTGAAAGCATCTGACAGATAGTTCCTGTAGTATATAATGACTCTTCTCCTCTTGTCAGAATTTTTTTCCTTCCTCTTGATCGTAAGGTTTTTCAAAGATTTTTCCCCAAAGCTGATAAAATAAAATGCAAGGACATAAACGTAAGAAAAGCTCATTGAAGTAAAATTACAGTCCTGAGTGATAATAATGAGTTTATAGTAATAGATGTCGGGTGTGGTTAATTCTATCACTTTTGTTAAAATGAGACCAGTTGGGTCAAATTGGTACGGGTATCAAAAAGTCATGATTTTTTTAAAATAAAATAAGTTTTTAACCCGTAATTTACGTCTCGATGCACTCGTACCTTTCGTCTTTATCACAGGTTCTCATCAAATACAATGCAACAAACTTTGAGAACTGTTTGAATTTATAAAAAAAAAAAAAAATGAGATCTTCATTTGATCATGCTTTTCATGGATGTGCTTGTTTTAAGCTCAAGAATGCTTCCCAAGACAGTTTTAAGTGAGTCTAGTGACAAAAATGCCACTACAGTCGATCATCAGTAACAGAGATTCAATATTCAGGAGCCCATGAAGTATCCTCACTGTGTTATAACGAGTCTACCAGCATTATGGACAGTAGAAACGTTTCGTATCTTGATCTATTTGTTATACGTCATTCACCTTTTGAACACTGTTCTCCTTGTAGAATTCCCAAGCTATCCCATCGATAGACAGCTGTAATTTGTAGCTGGTGATCCGTTCAGTAATGGATCTCCTGCCTCCTTGTGTTGCCACTGCACAAACGGAGTACACTTTACCTTTATCAACTTGGAGATAGTCTGTTCTGTCAGATTTAGTCTTTGGACACCACGCTCCATGTTTCCTGCTTTCATGCAGTCGGCCGAAGTATGGATAATACCAACTATGATGGTACGTGCTTGCCGTCATTCTGGAATCTGGTATTATGTTCCTGTCCGCTACACCAACAGGTCCACAAACTGGAAGAAAGTTATAGAACATTTAGCCCTACCTACTACCTAGGGTTAGAACATCCTTAGAAAACATGGATGCGAAAGAGATGTTAAGCTACGTGACGAATAGTAAGTAAGTAACGCCAACGTTTTTGACATATCACCTGCACATCCTCATACTCCTTAGCGGAAAAGAGACACTGTCAGACTGAAGCAGCTTACTTGCACAAGAGAACAAATACAGCAACCGTGCGCTTAAATAATGTAGAATTCCGACAGCAACGGCCGCCATTACTTTCAGATTTACCAGGAAAAGGGAGCCGCTACTTTCAATCTCTCTCCACCCAGGTGTATAAATGGATACCGGTGAACTTAATGCTGCGGGTAACCCTGCGATGGAGCATCCCATCCAGGGGGAGTAGAAATACTCCTAGTCGCTTCATTCCACAGAAACCGGGATAAGCCCCGGCCTGGTGGGCCGATTGGCTCGTGTGCAGACTTTACTTTCAGGTAGTAGCCGTTACTCAGTTTCGGATAATTAAAAAACTTTTCACACAAGCGGACATTAAGATAACAGTTCCGTTTTATGTATGTCAGGATGGCACATGTTGAGGTATTCAAAAAACATATTGGCATGTTCACTGTTTCTAAAACAGCAAATAATATCGTCTACATATCTGCGATAGTATAGTA